AGGGGGGGGGAGGCCATAAGGGGGTGTGGGGAACGTGGGGGGAGGGGGCACGGGGTAATTTGTGGGGGGGACTGAGGTGGGGGGGGGCAGCTCGTCCGGCTTCGAGTTCAGCTCTGTGGGGAGGGGGAGGGGAGAGAGGAGATGGAGACCCCTCCCCTAACACACCCAGAGACCCCCCAGAGAATCCCAAAATGCCCCCCAGAAACCCCCAAGCACAACCAGAACCCGCCCCAAACACACCCAGAAACCTCCCCAGATACACCCACAGCCCCCCAGAGCCCCCCAACCCCACCTGGAACAGGACGGGGGGGGTCCCTGCCCAAATCCCCCCCTCCTCACACCCCCGAGGACCCCCAAAATGACCCCCAGAGCCCCCCAATCCCACCTGGGGGCAGCCCGGGGGGCTCCTGGTCCAGACCTCCCCTCTCATAGCACGGCTCGGCTTCGGGCTCGTGACCCTCGTAGGGTTGGTAGCCCTGGGGCTCCTGGTGGCCCTGATGGTCCTGGCCCTGGTGGCCCTGGTAGCCCTGGGGCTCCTGGCCCTGGTGGCCCTGGTGGCTCTGGTAGCCAGTCCCTTGCTCCTGGTAGCCACCCTGAGGCCCATGGCTGTGGTTGTCGAGGCCGTCTGGGGGGAAAAAAGGGAGAACTGGGTCAGGGAAAAGCGGCGAAATTTGGGGATGGAACCCCCAAAAATCAGAGCTGTGGGGAGGGGGGGACAAGGGAGGCGCCTGGGGGGACAGGAGGGATCAGGACCCTCAGGAATGTGGGGGGTTCCCATTCTCCCAGAACCGGGGTCTTGGGGATCCCATTCCCTCAGGCCGGGGGTCCTGGGGGTCCCAGGCCCCTCAGAACCGGGGGATCCCACTCCACTCGGAACCGGGGGTTTTGAGGACCCAGAGTCGCTCAGAACCGGAGGGTCTCGTTCCCTCGGGCCAGGGGCTCACCACCAGCCGCCCCCCTCAGGGCCAGACCCTCCCCCTGAGTGAAGGCTCGCTCCAAGCCTCTCACGGAGAGCCCAGCAAATCTCCCACCCACCCCATCCCACCCCTCACACCGCGTCCCCTTCTCCCCCTTACATCGGTCCTCAGCGCCCACCGCGTCCCCCCGCTGAGCTCCTTCGCTGTCCAGCGCCGCTTGCAACCGCTCGGCCAGCTCGGCCTTGAGCCCGCGGGTGTCCAGGCCGCGGCGGCCCAGCTCGTCCCGCAGCTCCTGCACCCGTAGCCGCCGCGCCTCCATGGCCGCCCCTCACGGCCCTTCACGGGGCCCGATCAAAATGGCCGCCACCGCTCCCCCTTCCCCGGCCCGGGCCGCGCCGCGCCGTAACGTGCGCTGCCATTGGCCGTTCGCCCCACGCGACGATGTAACGACGGTTTCCATTTGTCAGCAGTCTCCCACCTCCCCCCGGCTTCCCGCCCAGTTAAATCTCTCTTCTGATTGGTTATTTTCGTGATGTGGGCACGGGCACTCCCACGGCGGCTTCTGCGCGTGGGGCCGCCCGTGTTGCCCGGCAACGGGACCCGCGCTCTCATTGGCTGGGGCCATCTGGGCGTGGTCTGAGGCCACGCCCCCGCTCTACCCACGCCCCCGAGCCCCCAAATTCCCATGGGCCCCCCGAGACCCCCCCAAAAACCCAAACCCCCCTAAAACCCCCCAAAACCCCAAACTCCCCCCCAAAAACCCAACCCCCCCAAAAAAGTGAGGCCGGTACAGGACAAGGAATTTTATTGGGGGTGTGGGGGGCTTTGGAGGGGTCCCGAGGGGGGTCCCTTCTTTTTGGGGGTGTCCCTGGGGGTCCCAGTACCTTTGGGGGGGGTCCCTTTATTTTGGGGGGTCTCACAATGCCCAAGTACCTTTGTGGGGGGGGTCCCTGCTTTTTTTGGGGTGGTCCTGGGGGGGTTTCCTTCATTCTGGGGGGGGTCGCAGGGGTGCCCCAGTACCTTTGGGGAGGGGTCCCTCCTATTCGGGGGGGGTCCTGTCCCTCGAGGGCCCCCCCCGAATCCGTCCAGCGTGCGGGGGGGGGAGGTCCTTGGCAGTGCTGCAGCTTTTTTTGTTTTTTGGGGGGGGGGGG